CAATTATATATGTATAATAGTTAAATAGTGGTTCAAATAAATAAAGACAAGACTGCTTAAAAAAAAAAAAAAAAAAATTAAAATTTAATATAGTATATTTATCCTGTGCATTATTGCACAGGTTTACAACTAGTATCTAATAAAATTATTGAATAAAATGTTTTAAATAATGATAAAATAAAATAAAATAATAATCTATTGTTATTTTTGGTATTTTTGTTTAAATAAAAGTTTTTTTTTTTTTTTTTTTTTGTATTTGAAGTTTAATTTTCTAAAGTCTATTCCGAATCTTAGTTTTTCATTTTTCTTTTTAGCCAAAACCACAGGAGAGCTCCAAGGGCTTTTAGATTTTTGAATTATTCTATCTTTATTTATTTGTTTAATTTCTTTTTCAATATATTCTTGTTCCATAGGTGATGCTCTATAAGCTCATTGTTTAATAAAGTAGGAATCGCCAGTATAAATAGTATGATATACAACATTAGTTTTATGTAGTTTAGAAAATTCAGTAGCAAATATATTAGCATTATCCAAAAGTAATTGAGTTATAGTTTGTTGTTGTTGGTTATCAAAAGTATTGCCAATAAAAGTTAATTTATTTTCTGTAATAGATATAGATATTTTCTGATTTTCTTCTTGACTTTCTTTTATTTCCTTCATTTCTGGTTGTATAAGTCTAAATATATTATCTGGTTGGTGTTGAAGAGGATTATTAATATTCTCTATTTTGACATTGGCTATAAGTTGGTCTTCCAGTTGTGTAAAAGTATTACCAACTTAAATAGTAGTATATGTTGGTTCAGTTATATCTTCTTCTTCTAATTCTAACTCTAATTCTTGATTAAAGTAGATGTTTTTAAACGTTATAGAGTATATAGTATTAGGATCCTCTATTTGTTGTTTGCAAGATATTGGAATATGTTCAATTTGATCAGCAACTCCAATACTCATAACTTCACTATAATAATCAATAGTAACTTGAACTTTATCCAAATATTCATTGCCAAGAACTACGTTATATTCTTTTGACTCAGTTACCAACATATCCATATATACAAGTTTAGCACCAAGTAAGACAGGAACATTTTTAACTTGTTCTAGAGGCGTTGATTTGTTACCAATAATGTCGACAACTCGAATATTACTTGGTCTATCAATACTACGATTTACTCGATCAAGGAAATGTTTAGCAACAACACATCCTTTAGAGCCAGTATTAACCAGAACATTAATGGTTACTCCCAAAACTTCAGCAGTTGTAAATAAAGCATCTTTTACTTGATCCGTTTGAATATCATTATCTATATTGAGGTTAATTTCTTCAGAGTTTAATCCAAGTATTTCAACAATAACTTTAAAATCCATCCAGAGATCATTTAATTGTTCATTAATTTTATTATAATTATTATCTTCCAAGTTAAGTTTATTATTAATTTCATCCCACAAATTAATAAAATCTACTTCTTTATTAGATAAGGGGTTTGTGTTGGTGGTATGCTCACCCTCAGGAGATACTAATTCTAGTTTAAATGTTGACGCTGGTTATTGTTGTTGTTGTTGTTGTTGTTGTTATTGTTATTATTATTATTATTATTGTTGTTGTTATTATTGTTATTTGGAGGAGAGTTATTATTGTTATAATTATTATTGTTATTATTATTTTGACGATTGTTGTTGTTGTTTCAGTTGTTGTTATTGTTATTGTGATTATTATTATTCCAATTGTTATTGTTATTATTTCAATTGTTATTATTCTAATTGTTATTGTTGTTGTTACGATTGTTATTATTATTCCAATTGTTATTATTGTTATTCTAATTGTTATTGTTGTTATTCCAATTGTTATTGTTGTTATTGCGATTGTTGTTGTTATAATTATTGTTATAATTATTGTTATTATTGTTTCAATTGTTGTTATTGGGTTTTCTATTTTGATTTATTCTACAGTTATGTGCACTATGCCCAATTTGCTGACAAATTGTACAATAAGGGGCAGTACATAATGACTAGCTTGACCACATCTATAGCATCTATTATTGTTATTGTTATTTTGTTGCGGTGGTCTATAGTTGTTGTTATTATTAGAAGTGTTATTATAATTGTTATTATTATAATTGCGATATTGCAATTGTTGATTCTGAGCAATACTTTATATATTTCTATTTAAACAGTTTATAGTTTCTAAAAGTTCATCAGTTCTTTTATTTTTTTGTACTTGGGTTAGAGTAGCTACTTGCATTGGAGTAGTATATCCACCAAAGAACTGTAGCTGAAATGAAGTAAGTAGCAATGAATATACGGAGAGTGTACTTCCTTTGGAATATGCCACTTCTATAGCTTTAGCTCTTTTAACTGCATCAGCTAAAGTAATAGGACTTTTAAACTGTACAGGTATTTGAAATTCTTGTCAAAGACTATCAATAAATTGTCTTATTTTATCAACCTTAGGATAAAGACCATCTGGATCTATTCTACAGCATAGCTCATCTAGAGCAGAGTTATATGTATCAACAGTTTCACCAGGTTTTTGTTTTTTTATTTCTAAGAGTATAATGCCATTGAGATACTTTAAAAAGATCTCTGAATTTAGCCAAAAAAAGTTGGTAAAAAGTAGCATTGGCATATACAATACTATCCTAGTAGGTAAAAGTACAATAGTTTTAATTATATTAGAATAAAGTAGTTCCTCTTAAAAAATAAGATACAATAGCAATGCATCAATTTTCTGAAATATTATTACTGATACAGGCTCTGTTAAAAGTCTCATACTATTCAACAGGGTCATTATCATGACTTTTTGAAAAGATTGGAAAATCTACAAGCTTATATTCCTTAGGATTAGTATTAGCAGTAGCTCGTTCTGTGTGATTTTGACTAAGTTGTTTAAGTCCTTCTATGATGGCTCTCATAGCATTTTTAGTATTAAATTCTTCTCGTTCATATTGTAAATGGTTGTTTTGTTCATTATCAATAGGTACATGGTGTTTATCAGCTCCTTGGTTTGATCCATCATTAATATATAGTTGAGTAATAGTATCATTTTTGAGCTTTATTATTATTTCAATTGTTTTTATTATCATTTCTATCCTACATATCTATTAGAGTAGATACTTGGCATGTTATACGAGTAGATGTTCTTTGACCAGACATGTTACTTAGATCTGAGAAAATATTTATAAAAAATTCGTTATATGAATTTGAATTTGTGTTTGTATTGATGTTATTTGATGTAGATGCTATATTAGTTGGATTGTAAGTAGTTGTTGCAATTGTATTAGTTATAGTTTCTGTTGGTGGGTTGTGTATAGTATTGTTAGTTAAATGAGTAGATTCAGCAACTAAAGCTGTTATAGAAGAATTAGAGCTACTACAAGTAGATTCTACAATTATAGCCGCAGTAGAAGAAGTTTCAGAGTTACTATTGTTTTTTGATTGTATAGGAGTGGTAATAAAGCCAGATGTTGCTATCCACTTAGCTATTAATTCAGGAACAATTTCACTAAATTCTTTTGGTAGTTGATTATCTTAATAGTGACAAGTAGTTAATAAACTATGAAATTTTCACTTTTATTCTCCAAGAAGGGTTGTCAATAAATTGCCCAAAATAGATTAATAGTATATCTAGAAAAACTTTGAGCTTGATATTTAAATTGAAACCAAGGCCAAAATCTTGAAAATTGTACTGCTAGAGCAAAATTTAAATTTGCTGGATTACAGTCAGGACAACTAGAATTCAGTTTTGCTTTATATTTACTGCGAAGTACTCGTTAGTTGGTTGAATAAACAAAATTATGTTGTTGAATTTGTTCTTTATATTGAGCAATATTTATAAAGAACTATCAAAATAGGAAGGCAATCCAGGTTGTTAAAGGGTTATAATAAATAAAAATAAAAGAAGATAAATAAAATAATAATAATAATAATAATAATAATGATAATAATAATAATAATAATAATAATAATAATGATAATAATAATAATAATAATAATAATAATAATAAAGTAAGATAGATATAAGCTAAAATATAAGTATAAAAGAAAATAAAAGTAGAAATAAATAAAAATAAAAATAAAAATAAAAGAAAAGAAAAGAAATAAATAGAAGCTAGGAAATTACAAAGACACAAAGAAGAGCGGTTCTGGTATGATTTACCAAAATTCACTTTTTTGACATTCTATTTTGCCGACACCATAATGTCGAAAATACATTTCCCTAACATGACATAACTCAAACACCTCATTTTCCTGACATGTCACTTTACCGAAAATTAATATCACTTAACTGACAATTCATTTCGCCAAATATCATTTAGATGATGTCCATTTTTTTGATATTCCATTTTCTAGATAACATGTTTTTTTGACATACTGTTTTCCCGAAGTTATTTTACTAAAAGCTTATTTATAGAAAGATATTTTTCTGAATTCATAATACTGTGAAAGTTATGGTACAAGTTTCCAAAAGCCATTTCCCCAAAAGATATAATACCAACCAAACCAGCCAGCATTATAACTAATGCTAGCTAACCTTGTTAGTATAATGTCCTTTTAGAAAAATAGCTTTCGAGAACTTTTTACATTGATTTAAGTATCTATATTTGTACAAAATAATACAATAGGTGTTATTTTAGAACATGTAATTTGAAGTGAAATAATTAATTTAATTAAATGCAAATTATAAACTTTTTGCTATTTAAAGTCTCTAGTTAAATTAATTATTATCTCTCTTCAACTACATATTTCGAGATAAAACTATGGACATTAATACAGTAATTAATGTTACTATGAGTATCTTTACCTGGTTCCTCAGTTAGCAGCTCCAGGTTATGTAATTGCGCTTATAACTTCAGCTTTTCTTATTTATAGCTGTCTGTTATACTTATATATGTTCTTTAACTTTTATGCTCTTTGGTAGCTATTACATTAATTAATAAAAAAATTGTATAAAGCAATCAATATTGTAACCACATAACCTGATTGGTTGAGACAAAAAAATTATAAATTAAGGAGAAATAAACTAATAGTGAAGTATAAATAATATATATTAAAGTATATAATTAATTTAAAAGTCAAAATTTGTATGTATAAAATTAGTAGTTATTCATTTTCCATAATAACTAAATTGAACAATGAATACTATTGCTTGTGCACATAGTATTATGTACTGTACTATTTGATTGATCATGTCTGCTGTTTGAGTTTGGCCCTTAGTAGCGCAAATTATTAACACCTAGTTATAAAATTATTTAGAAATCACAATAATGAAGTATATTTGTTTAAGGAAGAAAATTGAAATTTCATTTAAAATAATTTAATTTAATGTTTCAGGAATAAATTTATTTCTGAATGATTAATAAGTTCCTTATTCCAACATTACTTGTAAAGTTAATATATTTGGGTGGTGTGCCTTTTATTGGTTCTTCTCTCCTTTTTTAAGATATATAATAACCAGTATTAGAAATCTGATGTTCACAATGTTCTAAGAACATCAATTTTTTCTTTATTAATAACAGAAAAAAATGTGTAAAAACATTAAAAATAATTCAGATTTCTAAACTGATTGATAATCAAACATCAATTCCAGCTCAAAGAATCAGAACGGTGGTATTCAATTAATTAGAATTCTAGATTCATTCCTTTTCATATTAAAACCTAGCCATTATTTGTTCTAAAATTTCACTTGTATTAACAAATTTCTTATAATATTCAAATGTTCTACATTCATTATTCTTGACTCCAATTCCATCTTGAAACTAATCAACATTATTTGTTTCATTAATATTCTAATAATCAAATAAATCTGAACT